CTTGCTGCTCTGTCTTAGCATTCAAAGTGCTTCCAGGTATTTTAGACAGCCCTCAATTACAAGTCTTAGGCTACACTTAAAATCTTGGATAACCTTAGAGATGGTGTTAAAACCAATAGTCTGTATGCTTTCCCTGCCCTGAGACTGAAAGGATGCAAGCTGAGGTAGTGGCACAGGGTCCATGGACACCAGACCGGGATTATCAACAGAGAGTAAAAAGAACACTTAGAAACCCCACTCCAACATGGGAATAAATGATTTCCAGCTGCAATAAGCCGTGCCTCACTGGTCATACAGTGACTTCACTTTCGGGTGCTGTGCTGAGAATGTCCATTGGAAACACATTCCCACATTTTGGTCGATGCTCACATATTCAACACAGACATCCTCTACTGTCACAAGCTGCGTGGCTTAGTGGAGAAGTGCTGCCTTCTGCCTCTGGGACCATGGTTGAAGCCCAGCCTGGGATCAAATGAAAAAATGAGCTGAATGTCTAATGGACAACAGTCCACTTCTCAGAACCACTGCTCCTTCTTGGCATGGCTGGCAGTGCCTGCTCAGAAGAGGTCTAGACTCTTTATCCATCTGTCATTAACAATTTTCACCTTTAATTCCTCCTCTCTCACCTTTTCTGTCCCCACCCTACTCCCCTCTCCACTTTGCCACTTCTGAAAGCAATGTTTTCCAGGAAGGTTGTTAAGGTCCTAAAATGGGTGAGTGGATTTTTACACGCCCATGTAAGTAATGCCTACGTCCTGACTAGCCTGAAAGGTTACTGGAGAATTCGACATCTGACCTTTGCTAGATAACCATCAGAGCATAAATATTCTCCTAAATATGAACTTTTTTTGTTTGTTTGAAAGCAGGAGGATCTCTTACCTGAGAAATGGGGTGTGAATGTTTTGTGTTCTCTTTACTCTGTCTTTGTTAAGGTGTGAGAAAGCTATACTGCTACGAGCAATTTAATTAATAATTGGAAGCCATACTGATAATGGATGTGGTAATATTTGTAAAGCAAACCTACTCTAAGTAGCAGGAACTAATGGAATTTTTTTCCTTGATCATATGTAGCACTTTTGTTACTTTTTTCTTAAAGATATTTATATTTGATAAGTCTTTTTTTTATCATTTGAGAATTCCAAATACCAAACAGCAAACTTGCATTACAGAGTCACCCTGCGATCACCTTGTCATCTAGTATCTAAATGATGAACTGTGTGTGCATCTAAGAAAATTACATCTGCTAGCATTGTGTGGAAATGATCTCCTGGCATCCTGATAAAATGATATGTTGCTGCCGGTAAGAGGAAACATTTTGATGGAAACAGCACGAGAAGTGTTAGAGACGGGCAGGGCTGTGTTACATTAACGGAGAACAAATTAAAAAGCTACGGAGACACATCTATAAAAAGTTTGCATAGCGTTTCCTCCACATTCCACTTGATCTTCCCAGTTTGTGTGGGAATAAAAGAGGGGGAAAGAGCTCAGTTTGAAGGATGGCTTTCCCTTTGCTCCCCTCCACTTTTGAGCTGGAGCAAAGGGAAATTCCTGTGACTCGCCTTGTTCTCATCCTTTCCTCCCTCTTAACTCTCAGAGAGCTTTGTGACCCCTCCAGTGTGGCTCCTCAGCAGGCTTTGAGCCCTCCAGATCAGCTCCCCCTCTGTCCCTGTGGAGCAGAGTGCTCCCCAAAGTGCCCCCAAGAGGAGATCCTGTGCTCTCAGAGGGCACTGCCTTGCCACCTCTTTGTCCCTTGGAAGATCTATAGGTAGGGCTTGGCCTCGACTTTCACTTATGGATTTCATTGGAGAATTTATGTGCTTTCCTTAGATGTAGATCACTGGAGCAGAATGAAGCCGTCTTTTTTTTTTTCTGTTTTATTGCATTTCTTGAGTAGAGAAATTCATGAGTAGCATCAGGGTGGACTCAGGAAAGGCAGGACTTGGATCAGTGACCATTGCACCACTGCAGTTATTTTCTTACTGCCTGTATGAATGTTTTGGTACAAAGGAGTGAAAGGATGGGGAGAGCTTTTATTTCTATTTTTGCACAGCAGAATGATCGAGCAAACTCGAGCCTTAGTGGAATTTTACCTACTTATTCATTCCACAGTCACACACTGAGCTGACAAGCAACATCCACGATTTATAGTAAAGAGATTTTAATAATCGATGACCTCTTTACGTTGGGCTTGCCACCACCATTTGTTCTGGCTATTTCATTTTAAAAAGAACAGACTCAAACTGTTGGACAGCTGCAATTTTAAGAGAAATATTGCTTATTGCTTACTATAGTATCTGTAGGAAAAAAAAAAAGGCATTGTTTGAGGCTTTGCCTTTTTAGAGCAATAGGGAAGAATAAAAATAGTATTAGAACTTCTGTATCCTGATTATAGGTTCATGTGATGCAGGAACAAAGTAACACCACTGAAACTGTGTGTCTGTACCATCTAATGTAGAATAATCTGGTCTTAATTCTTTTTGTCACTGTCAGGAAGCTGCTGACATCCCACACCAGTATCTTCCCTGAAGGTTAAACAGGTGAAAAACCCCATATGAACAACTGGAGATTGGCAGATCTTCCTGGGCTGTACACAGCAGTTTTCTACCTTCCCACATCATCATCTTACCAGAGAAAATATCAAATATCTGGGGAATCAGCCCCTTGGTTCCGTGGGGTCTGTGTTTGGGGTGTGTCTGTTCTGGCTTCTCTTTGGGCATTGGGAGGTCCAAGGAGCCAGTGGCACCTCAGAGGAACAAGTGGGACCTGAGCTGTCCCCAGGGTGCTCCTGGCAGGCTGATCCCTTATTCTGCAAGTTCATAAGGAGCCATTTGCAGTTGGTCAATCCCTTTTTTAGTTTGAGGTGAATTATCTGTAATGGGACAGGTGCTGAGATCAGTGAATGTGATCTGGAGTAGGTGAAAGAAGGTGTGTCCTGGAATTCAGGAATCCTGGAATTCTTTCTTTTGGGTTTTTTTTTTTCCACAGTATGGGACTTGTCTTTCTGTCTGTGGGTTTCCTTGGAAATGAAGCCTCATTTTGGTAGCACTGCAGTGGAGGGGCAGTTGTAGCCAGGCTGGAGTCACTGCAGTTTGTTCTCTGGGGGTTCCCTTCAAGTGGCTCTGGTGGCAGATCCGAGTTAACTTTTTGTTCTGTGAACAGAGAAGGAGTTAATTTAACAAGCTCCTCATCTGTGATGGTCACAGATGGCTTTTACCTTCGTAGAGTGAGTTCTGGCTGATATTTTATCCCTCATAAAGTCTTTTTACTTGAGTTGCTGTTCTCTGACCGTCTTCTTAAAACAATTTCTACCTCCGCTTCTTTTCTGGATTGTTTTGGTGTTGGTTTTTCTTTTTTAGTTCTCCCACCCTTTTTCCTGAAGTATGAGATCCCAAACATTTGCAAAAGCCTTATGAGTTGATTAAAAAATCAGCAGATTTGTTTTCTGTTGATCTTCTGAATTCTCTGTAGACACACACGTGGTTATAGTGAAATCCTGTGCTCTGTGTGTGTGTCTGCAGTGCACCCTTGCAGCAATTAAGGAATCTCATTAAGAGCCTTCAGGAGGTCATGGAAAGGCTTTAGACCCCTCTGTCCATTATTTGTGGGACCATTGAGGGGGGAGATGGGAGGGCTGGAGCACATGTCACATAGTGGAAGATTGCAGGAGCTGGGATTGTCCAGGCTGGCTCTGGGGACATCCCAGATTTGGGGTTTTAACTGTCTTAATAAATTAGTTTTAACTTGAGGGTCCAGTGCAGGATCAGGAGTTGGACTTTGATGATCCTTGTGGGTCCCTTCCAACTCAGGATATGCTGTGATTCCAGAGAAGACAGAGCCAGGCTTTTCTCAGAGGTGCCCAGCAAAAACCTGGGGGGCAGAGGGCTAAAGTTGCATTAAGGAAAATCCCAGATGAATAGAAATAGAAATATTTTCATGCTCAGTGGTAGAAATGACCCAGAAAATCAGTGAAATTCTCATCCTTGGGGATACTCAAAATTCAACTGGACAGGGTTGGATTTGAGACTTCCAGAGGTCTCTTCTGACCTGAATTAGTCTCTGATTCTGTGCAGACCTGCTCAGGTTGAGGTGTTCCCTTGTTCTCATTTGTACATGTTGACTTGTTTAAAGAAATTCTTTAAATCTGTTGAGGGTTTTTTTTCTGTTTTGCTGTTTATATAAAAGTTATCTTTGCTAGTTTACTAATAGAGAGGAGCTTTATTTGCAGGGTCTGGCTCCAGGCTCCAATCAAGCCATAAGTTAGAGATTTCATTAATTATTTGCTCTGTTTACACAGTTCTTCAGGGATTTTTGACTTACTCTGTTTGTTTCATTGCCTAACATCAGACTGGTAAGTTTTTCATGTTTTTGTAACATTTGTGGTTTGTAGATCAGTTTTTGCCTTCATTTGTGAAGATTTATCTTTGTCTTGCTGCTGTGAGTGCAAGTGAGAAACTCCACATAGCTGAACCTATTTCAGGAAAAATTGGAGTTAACTCAAGCCCACTGGTGACTACTGTGGTAAGCCAGAAATTTTGGGTCAGTAAATCACAAATTGGTGTTAATTAGCAGCTGAAAGGGTTTGATTGGGAAAAAATCAGATTATGCTCACATATGCATAAAGAAGGGATCCCCCTTTCCTTATGCTGTTGGCCACTTCTAGGAAAAGCACTGTGGTATTTGAAATAGATTTTATTTTTCATACAGATAAACCCACTAAAATTGGGATAAGAATTTTCCAAACTCAAAATTGCTGCCTTGATGCAGGATGTTGGTTCCCTGTGTGTGATCCTAACTGGAGTCCAAAGCTGGAGTCACACTTCCCTTTGCAAATTGCTAAATTCAGGGTGAGATTCTGCCCATAATCCTGAGCTGGGGGTGTTCAGTTGGGGATGGTTTCCAGCCCCTCCT